GTAGGGAAACCCATGAAGTTAAGGGTTCGAGGTTTATAGGGATTACAGGGTTTGGCTTTTCTTTGGCATTGGGGGAATGTGATACTACCCCCCCCGCCCCCCACCCACCCTCCCTAAGCTTCTTAAGGAGAACTATTGGGATGTTCACCCTTATACTAACGGTCCTTAGGGTACTAGAATCCCTATCAAGGACTGCTGGTATAAGGGGGAATATCCCAACCCTAAACCCTGAACCCTAAACCCTAAAGCCCTTAAGGTATCTAGGACATTCTTGTTTGTTGTGTGGGTGTTCTTCTTTCTATCCGGTGGTTGGGATTATCCGTAGTCATGCCTGCGGCTAGGGGTTCAGGGTTTAGGGTTTAGGGTTTAGGTTTTACGGTTAAGGTGCACAGGGTGCACACGGTTTAGGGTTGGGTTTCGGTGTTTCGGCCGCTGCGATAACAGGCTCTGCGCGTCGACGTTGTTCGGTTCCGAATCGCATGTTCGAACTACGTCCAGAACAGCGTCGCATCATGGAGGCTGCGCGTGATCCCATGCCAGTCCCGGCAGAGGGGGGGACATTGCTTGCAAGCAGCCTTGCCCGTGCCGGAGACTGCAGTGCGACCGGTGCGGCGCGATTCTCTGCGCCCGCGCATTGCAGGATTCAGGTGAACGAAGCTGGTCTGCTGTGGCACGGACCCTGCACCAGTATGTCGTGGCAGCTGTCGGCTTCTCCTTGCACTGCGCGGTCGTAGCTACCCATGTTGCTCTGTTGGATCCAACAACGAATTATGGTCTAATTAATATAAATGAGTTTAAAGGACACAACTTTTTTTGGGGTTGTTGTTAAGTCCTCAGCCCCAAACCCCAAGCCCAAACAGCCCTGCAATTTCTAGGTGGGTTTAGGGCTTAGGGTTCAGGTTTTAGGGTTTAGTGTTTAGGGCATAGGGTTCGAGGGTTTAGTGTTTAACGCTTCGGGTTGAGGGTTCGTCGAGGATTAGGACTGTAGGCCCCCTTCCCGCATCGAATGCCTCAAAGGGTCATGTAGGGGATGTGCGTCACCTCATTCCCGAATTCCCTATTGAGTAAGTACAACCTAAACCCCAAAAACCCGAACCCAAAACTCTAACCCAAAACCCAAAACTACCACCCGAAACCCTAAGCAAACCCTAAAAAGCCCAAACCAAACCCTCCTAAACCCTAAACCCTAAACCCTAAACCCTAAACCCTAAACCCTAAACCCTAAACCCTAAACCCTAAACCCTAAACCCTAAACCCTAAACCCTAAGCCTGGGAGGCCCTCTTCCGCCCCATCACCGTGATGGTGCCCGACTTTAAGCTGATCATGGAGAACATGTTCATGGGCCGCTGGGTTCGGCTTTCCAGTTAAGGTTGGGGGGGTTTGGGGTTTAGGGTTTGGGGGTTTAGGGTTTAGGGTGTAGGGTTAGGGGTTGAGGGTAGACCGCTGGGAGGACCCAGAAACTAGAGCCTGGCCACTTTAGCAGCCTCAAAACCCTTTAAACCCTAAACCCCAAACCCTAAACCCTAAACCCTAAACCCTAAACCCTAAACCCTAAACCCTAAACCCTAAACCCTTAACCCTTAACCCTTAACCCTTAACCCTGAACCCTTAACCCTTAACCCTTAACCCTAAAACTTAAACCTGTACCCGACGGTTTGGCTCCTCCTAGGGCCGGCGCTAGGGTTTGGGTTTAGGGTTGAGGGTTGAGGGTTTGGGGTTTGGGGTTTAGTGTTTGGGGGTTTAGGGTTTAGGTTTAGGGTTTACCTCAGAAGGTTCACATGAGGGGGTTTAGGGTACATGTGAAAAGCTTAGGGTCTTTTTTGGGCCCTGAACCCTAGCCCCCACAGCCCGTTCAAACCCCTTCTTGAAGCCCCATAAGCTCCTTAAGCCGATTGGCCAAGAGCTGCCTCAGTTTACAAGGCTGAGGGTTAGCTGGGCCGGCCCTGTCCCTTGTTGGGTTTAGGGTTTAGGGTTTAGGGTTTAGGGTTTAGGGTTTAGGGTTTAGGGTTTAGGGTTTAGGGTTTAGGGTTTAGGGTTTAGGGTTTAGGGTTTAGGGTTTAGGTTTAGGGTTTAGGGTTTAGGGTTTAGGGTCTCAGGAACATCTTTCAGAGGTCTTGAGGGCCATCCTAGGTAGGCAGCGTAGGCCTTTGGGGACTTGGGCTTTAGGTTTATAGAAATCGTATAGGGTTTGGGTCCAAATAACGTTTTGAGCGAAAGTTTTGACCGAAACGTTTTGTTTTTTGCAACCACCTTTTCATTTTTGAGGCTGGGGGCCGGCTGGGGCGGGGCTGGGGCTGGGGCTGGGGCTGGGGCTGGGGCTGGGGCTGGGGCTGGGGCTGGGGCTGGGGCTGGGGCTGGGGCTGGGGCTGGTGCTGCTGGGGCTGGGGTGGGGCTGGGGCTGGGGCTGGGGCTGGGGCTGGGGCTGGGGCTGGGGCTGGGGCTGGGGCTGGGGCTGGGGCTGGGGCTGGGGCTGGGGCTGGGGCTGGGGCTGGGGCTGGGGCTGGGGCTGGGGCTGGGGCTGGGGCTGGGGCTGGGGCTGGGGGGGCTGGGGCTGGGGCTGGGGCTGGGGCTGGGGCTGGGGCTGGGGCTGGGGCTGGGGCTGGGGCTGGGGCTGGGGCTGGGGCTGGGGCTGGGGCTGGGGCTGGGCTGGGGGTGGGGGTGGGGGTGGGGGTTTGGGGCTGGGGGGACTGCTCAACCTGGGCGAAATTGGGCTAAGGGCTGGGGCTGGGGATGGGGCTGGGCTTTGCGACCCAATTTCGATTGGGAGCCAGTTTTGGGCTTTGCGATGCCGGGGCCCGGGAAGGCCCCAGAGGTTTAAGTAAATTGAACATTTGGCCTCCCGGCCTCCCGCTTTGGATTAATTTACTTAAACTCTGTTTGTCAGCTGTTTAGACAAATATCTTGGAAAATTCAGATTGATACCACATACAATTTCTATTTATTTTGTCTTGAGGGTTTAGGGTTTAGGGTTTGGGGTTTCGGGTTTAGGGTTTAGGGTTTAGGCGTTTAGGGTTAGGTTTTCAGGCCGGGGCAGAAGCAACTTTCTCGAGGCCTCCTTCTGCTTTAACAACGAATCAAGTACTTGCGGGGGTGCACCTTTGTGGGCGGAGCTTTTGCTGTAACCCTAACCCGTAAACCCTAAAACCACAGAACCCTTAAACACTACAACCCTGAACCCCTAAAGCCCTCAACCCCTAAAACTCTAGAACCCTAAACCCCTAAAGCCCGAAAACCCTCATCCCCTAAAACCCTGAAACCCTAAACCCCTAAAACCCTAGAACCCTGAACCCCTAAAACCCTGAAACCCTAAACCCCTAAAACCCTAGAACCCGAAACCCCTAAAAGCCTAGAACCCTTATACCCCAAAAACCCTAAAACCTTAAACCCCTAAAACCCTAGAACCCTGAACCCCTAAAACCCTAGAACCCTGAACCCCTACAACCCTAGAACCCTAAACCCCGAAAACCCTAGAACCCTAAACCCCTAAAACCCTAGAACCCTAAAAACCCCTAAAAGTCTAGAACCCTAAACCCCTAAAACCCTAGAACCCTAAACCCCTAATTTTAGCTCCGAAGCCCTCGAACTCCCAGGTGGCCTTAAGCCCTAGAAACTACAGACCCAAAAAACCCCAAAACACTGGAACCCCTAAGGCCCTGAACCCTGAACCCTGAACCCTGAACCCTGAAGCCTGAACCCTGAACCCTGAACCCTGAACCCTGAACCCTGAACCCTGAACCCCTAAGGCCCTGAACCCTGAACCCTGAACCCTGAACCCTAAACCCTAAACCCTAAACCCAAACCTTGGAGAAAGGGAGTCACTGAATAAACAAAACCCTAAACCCTAAACCCCTGAAGCACTAGAACCCCTAAAACCCTCAAATTCCCAGGCGAAGGCTTCACGGAGGCGAAGGCCCTCGGCTTGAAGTTCTCCACGCTCTACGCGCTGAACAAGGAAGATCAGGGGTTTGGGGTTGCTAGGGTTTAGGGTTCAGGGTTTGGGGTTCCTAGGGTTTAGGGTTTAGGGGCTTAGGGGCTTAGGGGCTTAGGGGCTTAGGGGCTTAGGGGCTTAGGGGCTTAGGGGCTTAGGGGCTTGGGGTGTAGGGGTTTAGGGTTGAGGGGTTTGGAGTTTGGAGTTTGGAGGTTAGAGTCTTGAACAAGGAACTATGGGGTTTAGGGCCTCAAGGGTCTTAAATGTCTAGGATTCAGGGCTTTAGGGCTTCAAGGGTTTCCAGGGCTTCTTTAGGGTTTAGGGGTTTAGGAATTAGGGTTTAGGCTTTGGGCTTTTGGGTTCAGGGTTTGTTCGGGGGTTGGGGGCGGCTTCGGCATTGAGGCATCAGGCTGTCGGGGGCTCGTTCGGGATTGAGATTTGGGACTTTCGGGGTTTAGAGGTTCTGGGTTTGGAGGTTAAGGTTCAAGTTTTGGGGTTCGGGTTCATGTTTTTGCGTCTAAGACGCCTGGCAGAGCAGACGTCAGGACTTGCTGTCGCAGTCCAAGAAGTATGCGCGGAGCTCAGGTAAGCGGCGGGGGGTTGGGGGTGGGAGCTGTGTCCACCCCGCCCCCCCCCCCCACCCAATTGCCCCCAGCCCCCAACGAAGTGTCCAAAAATACTGTACCTGAATCCCTGAACCCCACAAGCCCAAATCTTCTGGGAATGTTGCACGTGAGGTTCTTGCGCATTCATGTAAGGGGCCGACGTTCGATCGCATACTCTTGCAATCCCTCCTCAGGCCGCGCCAGTCCGGGTTGAGGGTTTAGGTTTGACGAAAACCCTAAGCCCCAAACTTGGGATGTGCCCCCCTTATACCAACAGTCCTGAATAGGGATTCTAGTAGGGGGTACTACAATTCCTACTAAGGACTGCTAGTATAAGGGGGGAGCATCCCAACGCCTAGACCCTAAATCCTCTGGGATAAGACGGCATCCTGCTGCCTTCGCTTCCGCAGCACGCCCCGGCGCAAAGCCGGATTCTCGAGGGCGTCCCCGACTGCACCGCGTCGCCATGTGGCGCTTGGCCACGCTCTTCTCGCAGATGCGGCCGTCGCTGGAGGCCAGCGAGTGCGCCGGAGATGACCTGGTGAGTCAGCTGAGGGCCTGTGCCTTGGACGAGTTTTTTAGGTAGGCCCTTGGGGCATGTTACAGTTTCCCTCCTTGGGTTTTGGAGGACCCCATTTCGGAATATCTTTTTCAGAGGGTTTCAAGGGCCGTCCTAGTTGCGGGGATTGCCTTCATCTGGCCTTATTGTCACGTCGTTGCTGCTGTTGCCCGTCAGGTTTGGCGCTACTTTGTATGAGGGCACGATGCGTGATTTCCATGTGGGTCGTTCTCGAAACCATAGGGTCCCTTTTTGGGTACCTTAAACGTGTAGTAGGGGCCGCCTGTTTTAGAGAAGTTACCATGTCATGGTTCTACAAGGAATCTTCATTGGGGCTCTCTTTTGGGGGGTCTCTTTAGTGTAGGGGCAGGGCATGGCAGGGCATTATAGGTATGCCTGGGAGTCCTGGTGAAGAACTCATGAACCCGCAAGCCCTAAACCCTAAACCCTAAACCCTAAACCCTAAACCCTAAACCCTAAACCCTAAGCCCTAAACCCTAAACCCTAAACCCTAAACCCTAAACCCTAAACCCTAAACCCTAAAAGTTCAAGAGATTCGCCAGGCAGGGAGGAGCTGAAAAAGTTCATCAACGAGCAGAACTGCGCCCCTATCCTAATCCGCCTCGCGTGGCACGACTCGGGCACCTATGCTACCTGGCCTGCTTCGGGAACGTGTCTTGTAAGGTTCACAGGGTTTGGGGTTTAGGTTTAGGGTTTAGGGTTTAGGGTTTAGGGTTTAGGGTTTAGGGTTTAGGGTTTAGGGTTTAGGGTTTAGGGTTTAGGGTTTAGGGTCTAGGGTTCGGCTTTAGCGTTTAGGGTTTAGGGTTTAGGATTTTGGGTTTAGGGTTTAAGGACCATGAACCACACAACTTGAAACCCTAAAGCATGAAGCTCTAAACCCTAAACCCTAAGTCAGAGTTTTCGGGTTGAATCAGTCGAGGTGTCCGGATTTTGGTGGTCAAACCCTGTACCCCGCCCAAACCCTAACGCCGAAAAACCCAGAACCACCCCCCCCCCCCCCCCCCCCCCCCCCCCAACCCCTAAAACCTAAACCCTAAAACCTGAACCCTAACCCCTAAACCCTAAACCCCCAAGCCCCCTAACCCCAAGTCTGTCAAGCCAGTCTTTTTGCCGCCCAGGACCAGCGTATTTCAGAGTTTCCTCAGCGAGGATGTGCTTGTTTCTTGTAAACCCTAACCCTAAACCCGAGCCCCGAAGCCCTAAGCCCTAAACCCTAAACCCTAAGACCCAAACTCTAAACGCTAAACGCTAAACGCTAAACGCTAAACGCTAAACGCTAAACGCTAAACGCTAAACGCTAAACGCTAAACGCTAATCCCTAAACCCTAAACCCTAAACCCTAAACCCTAAACCCTAAACCCTAAACCCTAACTCCCCACTAGTCCCCTCAACCCCTTCCGCGGGGTTTTCGGGTGTTTGAGGGGACTGAGGGGTTTTAGGGGGTGAGGGTTTGGAGCTAAGCACCTAAACCTTGAACCCTATAACCGTAGCCCCAAACCTTAAACCTATTACTCTCTAAACCCTAACTCCCTACTAGAGCCCCTCAACCTCAACCCCGCCTACTCAAGACCCTAAACCCTAAACCCTAAACCCTAAGCCCTAAACCCTAAACCCTAAACCCTAAACCCTAAACCCTAAACCCTAAACCCTAAACCCTAAACCCTAAATCGCCCTGGAAGGAGGGGCCAACGGGGCCATTCGCTTCGAGCCAGAGATGACGATGGGTGCCAACGCGGGCCTGGACAAGGCGAAGAGATACCTGGACGCGTTCGCCAAGAAGCGCCCTGTTCGGGGCTTACGGTTTAGGGTTTAGGGTTTGGGGTTTGGGGTTTAGGGTTTAGGATTCAGGGTTTAGGGTTTAGGGTCCAGGGTTTGGGGTCTGGGGCCTGGGGTTGAGAGTTTCAGGCTAAGCGACCACTATGGTTCTCCTTAGGAGTTCGGCTTTCTCTTTCTGCTTGTGTAAACCACTTGGGGATGTGAAGCACACCATTTTTGCTCTGCTGTGTGTGTTATCTTACACCCTTTTTCAGACCCTCACCCTAAACCCTGAACCTGAATTAAACCCTTTTCCCATACTAAGGGCTCTGGGTACCCCTAAAAACCTAAACCCTATAAACCTTAATTCGACCCTCAACCTGAGACCATTTTCAGAGGTACCCCCTGATCTCCTGGGCAGACCTCATCCAGCTTGCCTCCGCCACTGCCGTTGAGGCAAGGCGGGAACACCTGGGTCTAGGGTTCTAGGGTTTGAAGTTTAGGGTTTAGGGGTTAGGGTTTAGGGTTTAGGGTTTAGGGTTTAGGGTTGTAAGCCCGACTAATTATTCATCTAATTATAACCGGCGTTGGGGACTTCGGGGCCTTCGGGGGCTTGTAAGGACAGCTATGATTGGGGGTTACAAGTACCCTGACCCTCCAAGTAGGGTTCCAGGGCTCCCAGAGCCCAGCTTGCAGGGAACCTACCATATCCGACTATACCTTATTTTAACTTATCTTTTGGTACATTGGATGGTATTATAATTTCATTTTCGCATATTTAGGCGCGCACACACACACACACACCACACCTTATGCACATACATAGGTGCCTTTATACACTTGTTGATATTTGTACCTGAGAGTCCTCATCTACATGTTATATATCTATCTATCTATCTATCTATCTATCTATATATATATATACAGCCTGTAAGTACATATACTTGGAGGGCAGTCTTCACCCCCACAAGGCCGAGGGGCCCGTCGCAAGAAGCTCTTCACACCCTGCTGCAACCCAAAGCGGTTTAGGGGTCTAGGGGTTTAGAGGTTTCGGGGTTAGGGGTTCAACGTGATTCGAACCCAACGCCCCCGAACCTACAAAGCTCTCTCAGATGAGGCAAACCCTCAAGCCTGAAAGCCCTAAAGCGGCAAACCCTACCCTAAAACCCTAAAACCCTAACACCCTAACCCTAAAACCCTAAAACCCTTAAACCCTAAAACCCTAAAACCCTAAACCCTAAACCCTAAACCCTAAAACCCTAAACCCGAAGCCCTTCGCCCCAAAAGGTTACGGGTGGGCCTGTCATCGACATGGTCTATGGCCGGGTGGCGGTTGCCGGACCGCAGGCCTGACCCACAAGGGGGCAGGCAAGTGTGCAGGGTTTAGTGCTTGTAGGGTTTAGGGTTTAGGGTTTAGGGTTTAGGGTTTAGGGTTTAGGGTTTAGGGTTTAGGGTTTAGGGTTTAGGGTTTAGGTTTTAGGGTTTGCCTGAACCACGCCAATCGCTCACGGTCTCAAATCCGAACACAGTGGAAGTGACCCGTCCTTCCCAACCTTCGACCCACCCTATGGCCAGTTTTTGAAAAATTATGAGTAGGCCCTTATTCCCATGTTGTTTAGGTTCCCTTATAAGCCCCTGTACACCAGAAGGGTTCCCTTTGTTTAACCCTAAGCCCTAAACCCTAAACCCCAAACCCTAAACCCCAAACCCCAAACCCTAAACCCCAAACCCCTTCCAAAATCCATGAAACCCCCGGGTAGAACTCCAATCCCCAAACCTGCCTGAAGGACTGTGTGGGCGCCACCTCCCGCGAGGGCTTCGGCGGCAACGCGGGCCTCCCGGTGACTCGGCTGACTCGGCTGGCCGGGAACGGCTTCGATTTTGGGGTTTCGGTTTAGGGTTTAGGGTGTAGGGTGTAGGGTCGAGGGTTTGGGGTTTAGGTTTAGGTTTAGGGTCGCTTTAGGGTTTCGGGCTCAATATTTCGGGTTTTGCGGTCTGAGGCTGACTCCGTGGACCTCATGTTTTTTTGTTTTTCTTGGTTGGGGTTTAGGGTTTAGGGTTTAGGGTTTAGGGTTTAGGGTTTAGGGTTTAGGGTTTAGGGTTTAGGGTTTAGGGTTTAGGGTTTAGGGTTTAGGGTTTAGGGTCTGTTTATGGCGTAGTGACGAACATGCTGACTCGCTTGGTCGAATCCATGGGGATTCGGCACGCTTGCACCCTATAAACCCGAAAATTTTCAGGCCGAAATCCTCAGCCCTAAACCCTAAACACCCTAAACCCTCCAGATCCTATAAAGCCCCCCAATGCAGGCACCCCCAACCGACACCAATCCAAGGGACGCCCTCCGTACGCCCTAAAAACCCCAAAAAACTTTCAAACCCTAAAACTCTTTAAACAAAACCCAAAAAACCCTCAAAAAACCCTCAACAAACCCTAACATTCCTTACAAACAACCCTAAGAAACCCTGAGAAAGGCCAAAAACCCTCCAAACCAATCCAAAGGACGCCCTCCCCCCCTTCGGCTGCGGAGCGGCCACGCCTGCGGAGCACCTCCGCAACGTCTTCACCAAGAAGATGCCCAGCTGTTAGGGGGGTTTGGGGTTTAGGGTTTAGGGTTTAGGGCTAGGGTTTAGGGTTTAGGCTCTCTTGCGTTTCCTAGTCACGAGGATGGGCTTCAACGACCAGGAGATCGTGGCCCTATCGGGTGCGCACACCGTCGGACGTGCCTTCAAGGAGTGGGGTGCAGGGTTTGGGGTTTAGGGTTTAGGGTTTAGGCTTCAGGGTTTAGGGTTTAGGGTGTAGGGCTGTGACCCAACTGAAAGACCCCAAGGAACCCTAAACTCCTAAACTCCTAAACCCTAAACCCTAAACCCTAAACCCTAAACCCGAAACCCTAAACACCCGGAACCCTTCAAAAACAGGAGCGCAGTGGTGCTTGTCCCTTCGGCTATGGCGACGCAAGCGCCTCCAAGCACACAAAGTCCACGTGCACGGTGCGCAAGGACGGAAGGTGAGCTGTGATGACTAAGGTTTAGGGTTTAGGGTTTAGGGTTTAGGGTTTAGGGTTTAGGGTTTAGGGTTTCGGGTTTCCGTTTTCGGGTTTGGGTTTTAGGGTTTAGGGTTTAGGGTTTAGGGTTTAGGGTTTAGGGTTTAGGGTTTAGGGTTTAGGGTTTAGGGTTTAGGGTTTAGGGCCTAGGGTTTAGGGTTTAGGGTTTAGGGTTTAGGGCACAGGGTTTGCGGTGATGACTGTTGGGGATCAACTTGAAACATTGCTGAATGTCCCCTCTTGTTAAGTATTGAACCTTGGTCGTACATAAGTGTGGCGATGGCTGAAGGAACTCTGCAGAAAAAAACCCTAAATCGGGCGTAGGGTTGAGGGTTTAGGCTCCAAGGTTTAGGGTTTAGGGTTTAGGGTTAAAAGCTCTAACAACTGAAGGTTTGTTTGGGGGGGTACACGCTGCAGGACAACGCGGCGGGTGTGGGCATGGCTGGTGGGTGCCCCTGGACCAAGAACTGGCTTACCTTCGACACCTAGTGCCAAGAGCAAGCACCGTTCTCTTTCTGTCTGGGGCAACCCTAAACCCTCAACCCTCAACCCTTTGTTAGGCTGTACAAAGGCCTCAGATTCTTGGAGGTTTCCGATGCAATGTGGGCTCGAAGGCTTTGGTGAGGCTGGGCGAGGCTGTGGCTTTCAAGCCCAGGGTGCGGGGTTTAGGGTTTAGGGTTTAGGGTTTAGGGTTTAGGGTTTAGGGTTTAGGGTTTAGGGTTTAGGGTTTAGGGTTTAGGGTTTAGGGTTTAGGGTTTAGGGTTTAGGGTTTAGGGTTTAGGGTGCAGGGTGTAGGGTGTAGGGTGTAGGGTTTAGGGTTTTGGGTTTTTGGGGTTTAGGGTTAAATCAGGTTCAGGGTTTAAGATTCAAGTTGGGCTAAGGCAAGAGGGCAGCCTTAAGCCCCTCAGCCCTTGTGAAGCAAGGACAACTCCTACTTCAGCCGCTACAAGGAGACTTCGTTTCCTTGAACCCTTCAACCTTAAACCCTCTAACCCTCTAACCCCAAACCCTCTAACCCTCTAACCCTCTAAACCCTAAACCCTACTTGGAGGTTCATGATAAACCCTAAACCCTAAACCCTAAACCCTAAACCCTAAACCCTAAACCCTAAACCCTAAATCCTAAACCCTAAACCCTAAACCCTAAACCCTAAACCCTAAAACTGTGCCGGAAAAGAGGACGCCATGGCTGACGACAACCTGCTCTGGTTCCCGACGGACGAGGCGCTGCACACGGACCCAGGCCGGGATTGAAGGGACTGGGGATCTCCCAGAAAGTTTGGGGGTTTCGGGTTTTTGGTTTTGGGGTTTAGGATCAGGGTTTAGGGTTTAGGATCAGGGTTTAGGGTTTAGGATTGGGGTTTAGGGTCTAGAGTTTTCGGGTTCAGGGGTCAGGCTTTTAGGCAGAGTTTGGGGGGATAGTAGGGTTTGGAGGTTTAGGCCTCTGCTACCGGAAATTCTCCACCAAAACACCTGAAGCGTGTGCTTCACCCACACCCTTGCACCCCCTACACCTGGAGGTCAGCCCTAAACCTCCCAACCCCCAAACCTTTAGCCCGAACGCCCTAAGGCCCCTAAGGCCTCTAAGCCCCTAAGCCCCTCAGCCCCTAAGCCCCTAAACCCTAAACCCCAAACACTAAACCCTAAACCCTAAACCCCAACCCTAAATCCAAACCCTGACCCCTAACCGCTAAACCCTAAACCCTACACCCTAAATCCTAAACCCTAAACCCTAAACCCTAAACCCTAAACCCTAAACCCTAAACCCTAAACCCTAAACCCTAAACCCTAAACCCTAAGCCCCTAACCGAAGAGGCTTCAAGCCCCACTTCGGCAAGTATGCCGCGGACCAGTGCCTAGGCAATGATCCTCAGGATCCTTCTCAGGTTTGATGGGTTTAGGGTTTAGGGTTTAGGGTTTAGGGTTTAGGGTTTAGGGTTTAGGGTTTAGGGTTTAGGGTTTAGGGTTTAGGGTTTAGGGGCGTAGAAAGGTTGAGGGCTTGTCGACTCGAGGTTTGGCGGGTCTGGGTTTAGTGCCAGGGCTGTCGGGGGTTTGGGGGTTCGGAGGTCAAGGGCTTGGGGCTCACTGGTCTGGTGTTTCGGGGTTTTGATGGTTTTGGTTCAGGGTTCCGGGTTTGGGTTTAGGGTTTAGGGTTTAGAGTTTAGGGTTTAGGGTTTAGGGTTTAGGGTTTAGGGTTTAGGGTTTAGGGTTTAGGGTTTAGGGTTTAGGGTTTAGGGTTTAGGGTTTAGGGGCGAGAGGCGGTATACTAAGGGCCCCTACTTTCTCAAGAGAACCTGCACACGTGACTCACGCAAAAGGTGCCCCTCAGCCCCCAGAAAGCCAATGCTGCCCCTCAAACCCTTCTAGTACCCTAAGCCCTAAACCCAAAACCCTAAACCCTGAACCCTAAACCCAAAGGGCCGTCTCGGCCCATAGGGTCTACTGACCCGAATTTAACCATAGGCCCTACACCCGATGAACCTGAACCCTTCAACCTTAAACCCCATAAATCTGAACCCTTTAACCCGAAAACCCTCTAGCAAAGCCCAAACCATAAACCCTAAACCCTGAACCCTGAACCCTAAACCCTGAACCCTGAACCCTGAACCCTGAACCCTAAACCCTAAACCCTAAGGAATGCTTTCTTTGCCGACTACGCCCGCGCGCACAAGAAGCTTTCAGAGCTCGGGGCAAGGTTTGAGCCGCAGGGCGGCGTCAAAATTTGAAGGCTTTAGGGTTTAGGGTTTAGGGTTTAGGGTTTAGGGTTTAGGGTAGCCCCCAAGTAACCCCTAAATAACCCCCAAGGTCCCTTATGATTAAGGGTCCCTCCTTTCGTGCATTGACAAACCCGAAGCCTTGACCGCGACTGGCGCTCCACGCCTGCTGATGCTCTGTAGGCATGTAGGCAAAGACACCACAGAAACACGCGACAGAAGCAGCCGTGAGAAAAGAGGTGCGACCCCAGTCTGGGCAAACCCTACACCCTAAACCTTAGACCCTAAACCCCCCCAACTTGAAGCCCCAAACCCGAAGCCCTACGGCAAGCTCCCATCCTCCAGCCTTAAGCCCTCGCGGGACCCTCAACCTAAACCTAAACCCTAAACCCTGAACCCTGAACGCTAAACCCTAAACCCTAAACCCTAAACCCTAAACCCTAAACCCTAAACCCTAAACCCTAAACCCTAAACCCTAAACCCTAAACCCTAAACCCTAAACCCTAAACCCTAAACCCTAACACCTAAACCCTAAACCCTAAACCCTAAACCCTAAACCCTAAACCCTAAACCCTAAACCCTAAACCCTAAACCCTAAACCCTAAACCCTAAACCCTAAACCCTAAACCCTAAACCCTAAACCCTAAACCCTAAACCCTAAACCCTTAGCCAAAGCCTAAAGCCTGCGTGTGATGGGCTTTGCCGAAACTGGGGGCTCAAAGCTTAGCCCAAGTTCCTCCTAATGCCTTGGGCTCCACGGTTTCGGGTTTAGGGTTCCCTATAGGGTTCAGGGATCAGGTTTAGAAAGTACTCGGACCCTTGGTGTGTTCACTATTTGTTCCCCTTTGTTCGCTGATCTTCTGGTGAGGTTGTCGTCCCCTTTTGGGGACTAGGAACTAGGGTTTAGGGTTTGGGGCGACTCTGCTCATGGTACCTCTTCCTAGACGTCTTGTGCCGAGAGCGTTTGGAATTAGAAGTTTTGGGGAAGCAGGAGTGAAGGGCCATGAATAGTACGCCTGCGCAGGGGCGCGCCCTGCAGCGTCGACGTCATGTCTTTGGTTGCCCCAATCCCTTTGGACGTCGAAGTGCATGATGGAACCCTAAACCCTAAACCCTAGACCCTAGACCCCAGACCCTAGACCCCAAACCCTAAACCCTACTGTAAACCCTAAACCCTATGGGGATTGTGAGATGCCGCATTTGGAGTCGGCGCTCAACTTTCCAACCCGTGGGTCAGCCTCCCACAATAGTTCTAGGGTTAGGATGGGTTAGGATTTAGGGTTTAGTTAGGGTTTAGAGTGTAGGGTTTAGGGTTTAGGGTTTCGGGTTAGATTTGAGTAGGCCTCTTCCGCATGTTTGGGGGTCTTTCTGGGCACCGGTCAGCAAGCACAGCGGCGTAGTGGCGTCGCATCTTTTCTCATGTTACTCAAGGCTTTCCGCTCGCGACATGTGTGGTGCATCCCTAAATACCCTAAACCCTTCACCCTAAACCCTCAACCCTAAACCCTAAACCCTAAACCCTTGCGACACACCCTGCGGACCCCGATCCAGATGTAGAAGCATCCTTGGCGGCCAAATGAACCCCGGGACCATTTACCCTCTACTAGTATAATGCCTATTAGGGTAGAGGAACCAGAAACCCCTTTAGGATTCATTTGATTATCTTAAGGAGGATCATAAACCCTCTACTAGTATAATCCCTACTAGGGGTCTATGAACCATAAGCCTTGTTAGGGTTCTTCATGTGGTCCTTCAGGATGATATCTGTCTATCCAAGGTAGGGGCTGGGCGAAGTAGTGGGTTTAGGGTTTAGGGCCCTCCGCCCTGGGTGCTAAACTCTCCAGTCTTGCAAAACCGGGCCCTGGACCCTTCGCGCTCCAAAACCTACCCAAGGTTGGTTCAGGGTTCGGTGAGGGCTCGGGGTTCGGGTTTCGGTTTAGGTTTTAGGGTTTAGGGTTTAGAGTTTAGAGTTTAGGGTTTAGAGTTCAGGGTATAGGGTTTAGGTTTTAGGGTTTAGGGTTTAGGGTTTTCGGATTGAGGCTTTTGAAGCACCAGGATTAGTTGTTAGGGCTCGGGCAAAGTGTTTTCAGGGATAGGGTACGGTTCGCCTTCCCCCGTTAGGGTCCAGGGCTAGGCGCTGGCTTGCGGGGGCCCCTACGATCTCAACTCTTCAGTCTAAATCCCAAACTCCGATCCAAAGACCCCGTCAAAGCAAATCAAAGAACGCTCAGGGAGTCGCGTTTAGGGTTTAGGATCTAGGGGTTCGGATGCATGTTCAACCTAGCCCTTAAAGCCCTGAACCTGGTTCTTAGCAGGGAATGAGGGAATTAGGCCCCCATGTTGCCCTTCAGAGGGATTCTATAGGGTACCTCGTTCCCTTTAGGGCCCCATATACCCTTTCATTCCTTCATTCCCTACGAAGAGCCAGCCAGACTTTCCCAGTATATATTGCCGTGTATACGTAGTCCCTATATACCTACGTAGCCCTTAACTAACCCCCAAGTAACCCTTAAGGTCCCCCTAAACCCTTGAACCCTAAACCCTAAACCCTAAACCCTAAAACCTAAAACCTAAACCCTAAACCCTAAACCCTAAGCCCTAAACCCTAAACCCTAAACCCTAAATCCTACTAAGAACCGGCCAGACTTGCCCAGGATTGGGGAATGCGGGCTATCAAGTCCGTGCTGGTCGTGGCCGGAGGCTTCAAGCGCAACTCGGCGGAGTCGGCGTTTGGGGGGGGGGGGGGGGGGGGGGGGAAACCCTAAACCCAAAACCCTAGACCCTAGACCCTAAACCTGAAACCCGAAACCCGAAACCCTAAACCCTAAACCCTAAACCCTATCCCCTGAGCCCTAAACCCAAAAGCCCTAAGCCCTAAACCCTAAACTCTGTGGGGGGGTCTTTGGAGGGCTTAGAGTTCTTTTTTAGGCCACGTGGAGAGCCACATCGCCTTCAGGTACAGTAGATAGATGTACATCACACCACGCAGCTTTCAAACTGTAGATCTTTGTGGGCTTTTGACACCCTAGGGCTTAGGGTTTTAGGTTGAGGGTTTGGGGTTTTAGGGTTTAGGTTTCGGGTTTCGGGTTCCAATCCTTCAACCTTTGCATATGTCCCCCGAACCCCCTAGAGGAAGGTTCTGCAGGGTTTTAGCAGTCGAGCTTTTTGAGCAAAAACTCTAAGCCACTTACTAAACCTTAGATACTACGACCCGTATGCCAGTAGGCCCTTGTCTCCTTTTTTTCGGGCTGGGGTTCAACAAGGGCAGCCTTGTTATTGCTAGGTTACTCCCTAAAACCCCTAAAACCTAAAACCTAAACCCTAAGCCCTAAGCCCTAAGCCCTAAACCTTAAACCCGAAACCCGAAACCCAACCCCTGAGGCGCAGATGCGACCTTGTCAGAGCAGGCGGTGCTCATGCGCTCGCTTCGAGTCACTCGGTCTGTGGGTCAACGGGTTGTCTACACCCCACGCCCAGGAACCCGTGTAGGGCTTAGGGTTTACTGGTTTAGGGTTTAGGGTTAAGGGTTTAGGGTTTAGGGCGTTTAGGGTTTGAGGGTGTAAGTTATTACCCCACTCACCTTCGCCAAGGACACCAATGTGGCCAAGATTGAGGGTGACGACCTGAAGATCTTCATGGGTCTGCTGGCAGACCTTTTCCCAGGCAGGACGTAGGACGGCCTAGACGGCCTAGACGGCCTCGACCCTAAACCCTAAACTGAAACCCTACGTCAAACCCTAAACAATGCGAGTTGAGGGCACATATCCAAGAACTGAGTCATGTTCATGCGTGCTGCTGAAGATCTTTTTTGGGCTAAATTGGATCTAGTATTGCACGTCTTGGGTCATTGGGTTCACGTATGATTTTTTTCGAAACATGGAACCCTCTGAACAAGGACCAACAAACTTAAACCCTAAACCCTAAACCTTATGCAAAATCGCCAGCGGTGCCCCAGCACTTGGATTTTCCCCCACCCCCGGCAGGCATTGACGTGCCCCGTGCACGCGACTACGAAATGGAGGCGGGCGATAGATACAGTTTAGCAGAAACCCTACACCCTGAACTCCAATTTAAATCCCAACCATTGGTGGTTGCTCCAGGGTTAAGGGTTGAGGGTTGAGGGTTTATGGTTGAGGGTTTAGGGTTTAGGGTTTAGGGCTCCGGCCTAGATGGTCTATTTCTGTCGCGCGATGACCTTCTTCTGAGCGTGGCGCAGCATCAACCAACCCCAAACAGACCCTCACTTGGTTCCAACTGCAGCTATGAAGGGTTCTACTTGCAAACCAGTTTAGGGTTTAGGGTCAAGGGTTTAGGGTGTGGAGAAGATTCCGAACCCGACGAAGAACTTCAGGATTCTGGGCTTGGTTAGATTGGCAGGAAGTGCTGGTGGACGTTATGCAGAACGACTACGGCTACACGCATGATCCGGATGGCTACCTCCTGCTGAAGATCACGCAGCTGATCGAGTTGTTAGGACCATGGGTTAAGAATCCGAACCCCCCCCACCCCCAAGCTCTCGTCCCTAGCCCCTGAGGGCTAAACCCAAAGCCCTCAACTCATCCCCCAAAACCCTGAACCCCAAACCCTAACCCTGAACCCCGATCCTCAAACCAATTTTCGGGGGCCATCCCAATCGTTCAGCCAGGCTAAACGAGCGCGCGGAGGGGGGCCGAAACCCTTTCACCCTCAAGGGGCCCCTTTCCCCTGATCAAGGCCTCTCCGAAGGTTTTTGAGGTTCAAGCCCCTAACGTCGAAACCCCGAAGCCATGATGCTGATGCTGATGCTGATGCTGATGCTGATGCTGATGCTGATGCTGATGCTGATGATGCTGATGCTGATGATGATGATGATGATGCTGATGCTGATGATGATGATGATGATGATGATGATGATGATGATGATGCATCTTGAGGGGCCCTCGCTAGCTGGACCGTCTTTCGCACTCCCAGCTGCGTTGGAAGAAGAAGAAGAAGACGAAGAAGAAGAAGAAGAAGAAGAAGAAGAAGAAGAAGAAGAAGAAGAAGAAGAAGAAGAAGAAGAAGAAGATGATGATGATGATGATGATGATGATGATGCGGGTGATGATGGAGAGAACGATGGTGGCGACGAAGGTGGTGGTGTGTTGGCGGTGGTGCGATGGGTGGTTACGACAAAGCCCCCAGTCCCTGAAACCTGCCCACCGCCGCAGGTTCTCGGATGCTAACCCTACAACTGCGAACCCTAAGCCGCAAAGGCCTAAAGTCCTAAAGCCCTCAACCCTTATACCCTGCATCCTAAACTCACTAAGCCCCACAGGGCCCCCACACCCTCTAGGCCCTAAGAAGCCCCTAAACCCTAAGCCCTAAACCCCAAACCCCAAACCCCAAACCCCAAACCCCAAACCCTATACCCTCTAAGCCCGAAGCCCTAAACCCTATACCAGGAATCCGGCACTGCGTCTTCCTGATGGGCAACCCGGGCAGCTTCAAGTCTGCCATGTGGCGCCCGGGACTTCGATTCCTAGGGCACCCTAACTCCTAAACCATAAACCCTAAACCCTCAACCCTCAACCCTAAACCCTAAACCCTAAAGCCTAAACCCCAAACCCTAAACACCAAACCGCAAACGCCAAACCCCAAACCCCAAACCCTAAATCCTAAACCTCCCCCCGGGAGCCGCCGAGGAAGATTCTGAAGAACGCCAAGACGCGACGTGGTGAGAAGCCCCTCGCCATGCATTTACAGTTAGCCTTGAGTCTTTCGTCATAGCTTTCAGGGTTTTTGGGTTCAGGGCTTTTTGGGGGTCTTAGAGCTTGGGGATTTAGGGGCTTGAGGACGTAGTGGCCCTAAACCCTAAACCCTAAACCCTAAACCCTAAACCCTAAACCCTAAACCCTAAACCCTAAACCCTAAACCCTAAACCCTAAACCCTAAACCCTAATCCCTAAGCCAGTGTTTCGGGGCCTGCGGCTTCGGGCCTGTGATTTTGCATGCGGTTGCTTTACTTCGGAGCGGCTGGGGCGCACAATTGGTATCCTTAAGGGAGTAGGCTTCCCTAAAGTCTAAAGTAGGGTTTAGGGTTTGGGGTTTAGGGCGTTTAGGGTTTAGGGTTTAGGGTTTGAACTCTGAGCCCTAAACTTTCGTTATTTTTGGGGCACTTAAGGGAGGTGGGTTCAGTTGATTCAGGGGGGGGGGTATGTAACCCAAGGTCGCCTAATACTCCCCACTTCTCCCTAAGGCTCCCTAGGCCCTAGGCTTCCGCAAATTCCCTAGGTACCTACCCCCCATGAACCGCCCTGCCTTCAGGACCCTAGAACTTAGGGTTTAGGGTTTAGAGTTTAGGTTTAGAGTTTAGAGTTTAGGGTTTAGGGTTCAGGGTTTAGGGTTTGGGGAGTTCCGGGGAGTACTGTGGAATCTTCGGGAACATTGGGCTTTGCCCGTACAGACTCATCCAACAAAGCATCCAGGCAACTATCGAACCAGATATGGTACTGCCTGTTATACCAAGTGATATTTGGGTTTAGGGTTTAGGGTTTAGGGACCAAGTAATTTGCAGTCAGATGCGCCATGTAGAATGCCATCAAATGTGCCAAAGTACTTTACAGTCAGACGCGCCATTTAGAGTGCCATCAAATGTGCCGACAGTTGAACAGTCAGATATACCGTCACATGTTCCTCCACTCGTCTTTGAAGCCAGGCCAACACGGAATCCGACACAGAACCAAAGATTGGAAACAACGACAGCTTGATTGTCTTGCCATGGTTTTACTTCAACTGGCTAAATGAGCAAACGAAGTAGTCGTTTGTGGATGAATATGATCAATACTTGCATCAATCGTAAATATCAACATGTGTTGTAAAGGTTCGCAAGTTATTGCTTTCTGTTAACTTACCAGCAACTATCACGAGAGTCACCGTGCGGTAAGTAATGACTAGACTTCTGGATTCTGTTGATTTTCAGGATCAATTCTTGACCTCGTGATTCAATGCCTACGCCCTAACCCTAAATCCTAAACTGAGACCCCTAAACCTAAACCCTAAACCCTAAACCCTAAACCCTAAACCCTAAACCCTAAACCCTAAACCCTAAACCCTAAACCCTAAGCCCTAGGCCCCAAGCCCTAAGCCCTAAACCCTGACCCTAAACCGTGGCCTCCTAAACCCCAAGCCTCAAGTCAGACTCGTACCCCTCAGGTCGTACTCCTAAAGGTTTAGGGTTTAGGGTTTAGGGTTTAGGGTTTAGGGTTTAGGGCTTAGGGTTTAGGGTTTAGGGTTTAGGGTGTAGGGATATACTCCTAACATGGCCCTTATATTTCCCTTAGCTTGGTAGCCCAGTGGTGCCCTTTACCCTTCTTTTGGGTTCTAAGTTCCCTCATAAAGTAACCAACCCAAAAAG